TTGGTAATATTAATATCCTTATCCACTATGAAAGCTTCCAAAATTGGCTTTCTCTTTGCCAAAATGTTCATCAACAGGCACTGTCTCCCCATTACACCACCCATTGAGTTCATTTTCAAGCCACTGAATGGTGTTCCACAGGGTCTTATTTTTTTCTCTCTTTCTCATTTTTCTTTTTCTCTGTTCTGCAGTTAACTCTACACTGACATAGACTGTATTCTTATTGTTTTGGCTCTTTGACACACTAGAAGGGTAGATTTTGTTCCAAATTCATTATATGATGATGGAATGCACCAAATTACAATAGTGAGTCTTGAAGAATTCTTGTCATTTTACTATCTCAATATGGAACCTACATACTACCACCAGCCAAAGCAGAAATGACATTTCCAAGAGCAGGAAATGATTTAGTGATGTTATTAGCTGCATGCAGAACAGCAGTTTAGCTCCAATTTTACTAAGCTTGTCCCTACCAACTAAATCAACCAGATATAGTTTTCCACTCACCTTTTGTTCTGTTTGCATGTTTCCTTGTTTTACATTAATATACAAAATACTGTGACTCCTCAAGCTATATTCATTCATATTTGTAACTTCTACATGTCTGTTACATTTTCCTTCATCTATGGTATCCATAATTTTATCTGGACTACACACAAAACATTCCATGCACCCCTGTATATAGGGAACTCAGTTTTTGTCTTCATGAACTAAAAGGTTGGTCTTTGAAACCTCTAATAGGTCCCTTAACCAACTAGATTTGAAAATACGAAGCCTTAATATGAAATTCCAAATTTTCATCCATGTTGTAAATATAATTAAAAATACCTTGAGCAATTCTTGGGATAATTCTCATGCCTTCTGGATCACAAAGTTGACCCTCCATCATGTGTCTTCCCAGAGGATGTTTGTTCATATGCAAATATTGTTCCATTGTATCCTTCAAGTACATGTTTCAAAATCTTTTTTGTACAGTCATCGTGTACTTGTTCTTGAGATATGCTACACTGAAATACCAAATCACGACCCTGTCATCTCCCTAGAACTTGGCACACACCTGTCTGTCTCTGTGGTTCCCTCCCACTCCTTGAGGGGTCAGAAGTAACACAGCACTTGGTGTTTGGCTTGGCTTGGTGTGCCCTCTTCCTGAGGAGTGCCATGCTCCCCACTGCTTAGTTCAGGGGAACCATGGCTGGGGCCAAGGCTCCACCAGTCATGAATGCAGGCCCAGTCCACCTGGAAGGGTTGTGGGAAGGATTCTCTCCTCATTTCCTCTCCTTCATGGCTGCAGCATTCTCCATTATGATGACAGTGCTCCTTTCCCATGCCTCACTTCCACTCCTTCATGGCAGGGCTGGGCTGAGGATCAGACCCTCTGCTTCTCCATAGCCAGCCTGGGCAGTGAAGGGACTGGGAGATTCTAGGCCCTGGCAGCTGCTCCTGCTTCCTTTGTTAAACTACAGGTCAGGCCACATACCCACTGGGCTGTGCTCCTGGTTTATCTGCCTCTGACCAATCATTGATTTTAAACTTAAAATTGACATCATAGATCTACCTCTTGATCAGTGACTGGTAAAATAATTTAAAAACATATTGAAAAATATTTACAATGTACTTAAATGTAATGAATATATTTTTATTTATATGGCAGAATCTGTGGGTGAAAAGGATAATAAAGTTGAAGAAATATGATAAATTTTTCATTTCAATACCAGAATTTTCTGGAACTAATCATCTCTTTCTTAAATTGTATATACTTTGTGCCAAATTAAACCTGTCCTCCCTTAATTTGCTGGTGAAAAGAAAGCTGAAAAGTACATGAATATTCTGGACATATCATGTAGTAAGATTACACAATATTCAATGTGCTGGAAGTGTGCTATTGTGCTTCTCATGAGACTTTTCAGTTTTATCTACATTTTAACATGTATCAACACTTCATTTCTGTCTATTGCTGAATAATATAATTTAGCATGATATATCTCATTTTATTTATCCACATATTACATCATAAACTTGTGGAATACAAGTTCTGATTAGACTCAAAGCCTAGAAATGTAGGGACACTTGTGGACATTTAAGGACAGGACTCCATTATCAGGGGCATGCACATAAGGAGCTACAGTCATATGAGAATGACCTAACATATTCAACCAGGTATGCACCAAATGGCCCTGCAAGGTCAGGTGGGTGATTTTTCTCATCATGTCCCAGTAAGCTGATAACAGACTATATAACTGCTGTAAACTAAAGAACACTGTAGCTTTTTAGTAGCTGTTTTGCTGAGGGAATAAAGACAAGCAGCTCTTGAGCTTTAGAGCCCTGGCTCTACACTGCTCTGATGCTTCCCTTACTCTGATAAATGCCTCAGCATCCTGTCCTTTATTGGGAAATTAATTCATTCACTTAGGATGGATCAATTTGTGAACCCCTCTACAGGTGCCATCCCTGGGAAGGCTCAGCCTTGACAGAATGTTTTTTGTTTCCAACTTTGATTATGATGAAAACAGCAGTGTGTGTTTTTATTTGAATACATGTTTTACTTCTTTTGTATAGTTTTAAGAAGTAGAATCACTGCCTCACATGAGAATTTCATGTTAATGAGTAGTCTATCTGTTTTCCAAACAAATTTCTGAAGGAGCTATCTAGGAGGGTTCCATTTTTTCCACATTACTAAAATTTATTATCATCTCAGTTTTTGGATTCAAGGAGGCAAAACGTGCATTTTTCTTTTGATCTCAATTTTCATTTCACTTATATATAGAAGTAATAAATAGTTTCCATATGGCTACTGGTTATTCATATTTATTCTTTGGTGAGATGACTATTTCAATCCCTACCATTTTTCTTAATTAGGTTGTCTACTTATTATTGCCTTGTAAGAATTCTCTGTGTAATATGGATCTAAGCCCATCTTGAAATATATGCTATGCAGATATTTTCTTCCATTCTAAATGCAGGGATTCATCTTATTTTTAATAGTGCATTTTACAGCATAAAAGTTTTTAATGCTAATGAATTGTATCTTTAATAATCAAAATTCCCAACATTGCAACAGAAGTAATATTGTAAAATTTGCAGTACTCAGCATTTGTAATACTAAGTCAGCATTCTGTACAATTATCAATAATGTTATTATGCAGAGAGGATATTATTACAGGAATTGTAACAACTCATTATTAAAAAGAAAATAGTAACAAAATTGAATGTTAAAAGTATTTTAAAAGTAGTCAATGGAGAATAAAGTATGAAGATAATTCTGGTTGGAAAAACAGAAGAGGAAATGTAGAATAAGATGAGATGTTTAAATATATTTCAATACTTACATTAATCATAGACTATATCATTAAAAGACAAAGACTGATAGCCTAGATTTTTAAAAAATTTACTATATATTCTGTTTATAAAATATGTTTAGTTTAATTATACAAGTAGGTATAAGTAAAAGACCTAGCATAGTTATTTTAAGTCTTTATAATGTAAGCTACTGTAGCTTTATCAACATCAGATGGAACAGGCCAAAATAATAAGCAAATATAAAAATGAATATATCTTAATAATAATTAAGTCATTCAATATAATATAATTTCTTACTTTTATGTGCCTGCTAATTAAGCCTCAAAACAACTCCAAATTAACAAAAAGAAAAATATAAATATGCAACTATGTTCAGAGTAGGGAACTCTTAAGTACTTTTATCAATAAACATAAAAATATGATAAAAAACACATAAGAATATATCAAATTTGAAAAACCTAATGAACAAAGGGAAACTAAGTAAAACAAATATCTCTGCCATAAAATTAATAAATACATTTGAAAAGGTGCAAATCATAAAAAGTATATTGTTCAGATGTACTGAAATTAGGGTACAAAAATATTATAAAAATACTTTTTAAAAATCTCAAACTTTTGAGAATTTATCAATACATTTCTAAATCCTTAAAATTGAATGGGGAAATTATAACTCCACATGCATTTTTATCACAGAAATTTTATTCCTAAGCATATAAAACACAGAAATATGTAAATCAATAAACCAATATACACATAAGAATGTGTAAAATGGCATTATATAAATAGTGAACAACTATAGACAATCCAAAATTTCAAAAATTGTAAAATGAAGAGGTAATTTGTGGCAATTACACACAATGGAATTAAGTAACCATCATACATAGACAGACACAAAGGATTAAATGCTATATTATTTACATATATACACAAGAAAAAAACACACGGTGTTAGTCTTCAGAACAATCATTTTGGGAAAGGGACTGATGTTAATCCAGTACATAAAGGTGTAGTGCTTCTAGGAAAGTGTGACATCCAAAATCGTGATTTGATTGTAGGCATATTGATATATTTACTTCAAAAGAATTATCATCCCAATTATATAGTAACCAGCTATTCATTAATGATTGTTGCATTTTATTAAAAAATTCATATTTAAAGTTCTATTAGAATATAATGTGTTTTAAAATTCTACTAAGTGGTAAGTAAAGGTAGAGGAAGAGAATCTACATGGAAGAAAATCTCTGTTTGTGACTCTTTGTGGCCAGGTGATCCAAAGAAGGGGTCTACATGTTATTCTAAATATGATCAGAAGGCAGAAATTTTGAGCAGTGTACTGTCCTAATCTGATGTGAATTTGAAAAAAAAACAACTCTACTAGGTGGAAATTAGCAGAGGGTAGAAGAATGGAAAAAGACTAATTAGCAGAAATTTCACCTACTATGACACAATTCCTCATCAAAAACTTCAAGATGATCATTTCAAAGAGCTTTTTAACTATCTCACTAATCACATGAAAATAAAATATAGTCTATAAGAAAATTCCAACATAAAAGCCAAACTTTCTAGATGACCTACTTCAAAGCATTGTACTTTTACTTCTATTTCATGGCACTTATTTTGACTCACTTTTACAAAAGTTTCTACGAACCTTTCATAGACTTATGCAAATTAAGTAAAGTAATGTTGGTCTTCCTGTTTCCCCTGTAGCTACAAAGAGAACACCATGAGGTTATCAAGAATTCACCATGACCACCCAGTGAAGCCTCTGGATTGGGCAGTCTTCTGGATCTAGTTTGTCATGCACCACAAAGGTGCCAAGCACCTTCAGGTTGCAGCCCATGACCTGTCCTTGTTCCAGTACCACTCTTTGGATGTGACTGGGCTCCTGCTGGCCTGTGTGGCCACTGTGATGTTCATTCTCACTAAATGTTGTCTATATTATTGCCAAAAATTTACAAAAACTGGAAAGAAGAAAAAAAGGGGGTAGTTGTATCTGTGCCTGAAGTTTGCAGCCCCAATAAATGGGCCTCCTCCAGTTTATTCCAACAAGAAGAGATTAGGATGCCAGATTCCTTCCTCCTGTGACAAATTTTCACAAATTACTTTTTCAAGTTAAATTTCATTTCCCAGAGGTTTAACATTTGTTTATGAGTTAGAAATATTTCAGGTCAAAGATAGTGGAATGTAAAAATAATAAATCTCTGTAGGTGTGTATTGAAAAATATTACTGAAATTTACAAATTGTACCAAATACTTAGCTTAGCTGTGATTCACAAGGTGTTCATGGACACATAACATTAAAAGTCTATGCAGAGTATCAATATGGTTTTGCACCTTTTTAGCCTGCTGTAGCTTTATTTAGGTGCAGAATGCCTGGAGTAAAAAATTTCGTCATCATCATTCCTTTAAGCCTAGAAATAATATTACAGACCATAATCAGAACCAATGCAAAAATTTAAAATTTAAATGAATTATATAGGAATTAAACCACAAAGTTTCCAATGACCTTTCTTTAAGATACATATCACAAATAAAATTTATGATAAAATTGGTTAAACTGGAAAATTAATTTTATTGGTTAAAAAACCATCAACTAAGTCTCACAACAAATATTCTGCAGCCCAATACATTGATTTATTGTAAAAATAAATTCAAAATTATGTTAGTAAATTGGAGTGATTTTTAAGAGTTCTCAGCAGAATTTTTATGCAACTCATCACATTTACAAGGAAAATAGAACCAATACAATATATTATAGTTGACAGTTTAAAAGCATGCACAGAAGCTTGAATTAATCTTTACCAAATAGATTATCCAACTCCTGTAAGAACAAAGGATCAGTATCTATTACATAGTAAGATATACAACAAATCATCAACCAAAATTACAGTTAATATGCATACATCTGAATACAAGAACTGAACAGGTGATTCACAGAACTGAAACTGGCCTATAACCATGAGAGTTTACATAAGTCACCAATGCTTTAAAAAACAGAAATTAAGTTAATACATTACATTCCCAGAGAAAATTTGTAACCTATGAAAATTTGAAGAAACTATTTCTGTGGGAGAATAATGTAGAATAATTCTGCCACATAGAACTGAAACAATTTTTGACCCTGCTATTCTACATTTAGGAAGCTGTGACACAGAAATACCTGGACAAACACCTATTTAGGCACAAGATGTTCCCTGTAGAATTTAAATGGTTACCAGTCAATGGATATATCTTCAACTGAAGTTATATAGTTAGCTAGGCATGATGGTGTGATCACTCCAGCCTCTTGGGTAGATAAAGTGGGAGGACAGCTTGAGTCCAAGAATTCAAGACCAACCTGGGCAACATAGTGAAAACTTGTCAAAAAAAAAAAAAGTTATATGGTATACAACAATTACAGAGAATGAGTAGAGTATATGCAATATCATCCCACATTCTTTTTTTTTTTTTTTTTGTACTAGGGATTGAACTCAGAACTTTGTGCTCTCCAGGCAGGCCCTGTGCCACTAAGGTATATCCTAAGCCCTCAATGTTCTTGTCATACTATGAAATAAAGAAGAAAGTTTCAGAAAAATTTTTTAAATTCTCTGGAACAAAATAGGACATATGTAAATTCATACAAATACAGAGGAAAGAGTCTGGAAAAGCATACAGAATTCCTAGCAAAATAATCTTAATATTTAGTTCTTTGCTCCTCTGCTGTATTTTTTTTATGATAGGAACTCACTGTATTGCTCAAGCTGGCCTCAAACTCATGATCATCTTACCTCAGCCTCTCAAGTAAGTAGGATTAAATACATACATCACTGAATGTCTTAGTTACTTTCGCATTGCTGAGAAAAAATACACAACACCCACAAGTTACTGAAGGAAAGACTTATTTTAGCCCACAGTTTGTAGAGGTTTCAGTCCATAGTCATCTGACTCCAAGGCAGGGTGGTATGACAGACAGGCATCACAGAGGAGAAACAGTTTGAGGTGTGGCAGACAGGAAGTAGCACCCTTCCTTCTGTTTCCCCTGTTTATTCTGTCCAGGGTACAAACCTTTTGGTTAGTACCACTCACACCCACAGTGGGCCTTTTCTCTTCAGTAAGTCAATCATTCAGATTCACCTGAATATGTTAAACCAATCAATATCAGTGGACTCATCCAGTGTCACACACCTAGGATCCAGTGTCCCACCCCCATGATCTAGTCACTATCAGAATCTCCCCCTATAAATGCATGAGGCTTTGGGGAACATCCAGATATATGGCATGAGTGTACCTGGTCAAAATAATATTTTCATAAATTAAATGGTTTGAAAATTAGTGAAACAAACATATTGATTTCCCAAAACAATTATTAAAATGTGATAATACATTATTTTATTAGTGCTATTTACATGAATGGATCTGGATCTGACGTATCTGTCTGATTCATTTGTGACTGTGTTTAGAATATCTATTGAATATTTAAACTATCTATAAATAAGAGTCCTACAATATATTTAATTTAAATAGATATAAACTGTAAATTGTCACAATTTTTCCTATTTTATTGTTTTAATGTCAACATTTAATGAATTTTGCAATAGATTAATGACCATAGATGCCTTTTTTCAAAGCTTATATTGGTGTTAATTTTGAACATGAAAACAAATATTTGATAATCTTCCCAATAAATCATGTTCCCTTCCCTTCAACTTTGGCAAACATTGCTTTGTCTCAGCAAAAAGATTGCAATAGAAATTACATGGCTTAGTCAGCAAAACTCAGCAAAGGAAATACACATTCTCTGTCTTTGTTTCACACCCTCTATTCCTCACAGTGCTCCATTTGGAATCTCAGCCATACCCAAAGTCCCTGTGAAAGGACATCTGGTAGAGACATAAGAAGCAGTGTCTAAGAAGTCTCTATTATTCAAAGCCTCCAGCATTTGTCTTTTGTAGCTAACCACAGTATGAAAGTGAATGATCTTTATATAATAATAACCTGAGCTACTGTATAATAATAACGACTTGAGAAATTCTGTTAAAAACTGCCTACTGATCCAGTCAATGTAAGAGATATAATAAACTCATTGCTGCTGTTCTAAAATTCTGCATTTGGGAGCAGTTTGTCATACAGTGATAGGTAAGTGAAATAAGATACATATTTTTAACTAATCATTTTAGTTTTGTAACTAAAAATAGCTACATAAATATGAAATGGGTAATTTTGAAAATGACCTTAATAAAAAGAAAATAACCACCAGCATAGTATTGTGGGTAAGAGTTTGTACTCTGGATATGTAGTCTGGATGTACATCCCTATGAACCTACACAGAACAGTGTGGGGCTGGGTAAATTACTTAGAGTAAGACTTGGCTTCCTCTCCAATGAAATAGAGTTGAAAGAATAATATTACCTACATCATGAAGTTGAAAGAATAAATGCATTAACATGGAAAAGAGCTAAAAGTAATTGCAATATATGACGAAATTCAACTTTGATTCACTAGTACCAGTAAAAATTGCATAAAAATATTTTCACAGTGATGTTATTCTTCACATAAATTACCTAACATGCTTTAAATGTAACATGATTCAAATGTAAATGAAAAAATTAGCATTTACTGCTTCAAATATGTTATAATTGTGGTATAAACCAGTGACTGATAAGTAAGGTTTTCTGAACAAAATCTAGCCACTTTTTTATATAAATAATTGAGATAAAATCACATAATATGAAAGTCATCATTGTACCCCGTAAAATTCATCGGTGTGAATACATTTTAAAAATTCTGCAACTTTCACCGCTTTCTGAATGGAAGGAATTTTTGTAACCCAAAAAAGATAATTTCATATGCCTTAAAGAGACATTATCCATTTCTCAATTATTCAGACCTAGATCTCTTGTAGTATGTGTTATTCTACACATCAGATTATCTAAAAGAAAAAGTAAATCTATACAGGTGTTTAACTATAGTTGGGATTTTCCCCTATTTTTTCGTGTCCTATTTGCCCTTAAATTGCAATTTTCTCATTGAGATATACTTATTTTTAATTACTTGATTTTTTCCTAAGATATAGGCACACATTTTTATAAGAAAATTTCAAACAACTATTTCTCGGATAAATAACAGAATAGGTTGTATATACCAGCTCCCAAGAAAAAGAGGAGCAGCTAATACCATTGTTTTTAAAAATCAATAATTGAAAGTTTCTAGGAATTGTCATAAGGACGTGTATCAAAGGAAGACATGTATTCAAGAAAACACACAAAAATTTGGTATAAAAAAGGCAGAGCCCATGACAAAGCTATCTGCCACCATACCCACATTCTAACTCAGTTCTTTAACCAAAACGCTAACAGTGGAAAACTGAAGAAATTACCTTGATGAAAAACAAAACATTTTTTTAGTCATCTGCCTATAAGTATCATCGATAAAACTTTTAATAAATTACAAAAATCTTAATGCCTTAGACATAGAAAATCCTCCACCTTTTTAATTACAGCCAACATAATTAATTATGTATAATAATAATTTCTTAATAACATGGGGTAGAACACAATTAGATTCTGAGGAAAATCAGAGGGACCACTCAGTATAGAAAACTGAAGCAAATTGGTTCAAGCAGCTGCTTTTCAGCCACAGGAATTTTGTCTTATAGTTCCTCAGGCTCAAGAGGCCCCACTTAGGGGAAATTTTTAAATATCACTTTAATATAAAATTATATTAGAATTTTAATTTACTTAGGAAAGCAATCTTAAACTTTAATATATATGCATATATATTTATAATTTATGAAAACATTTCACAGACCAAAATGTTATCTTTTTATAAACATTAGTTGAAAATATTTGACTTTATACCTAGTATCTGATGACTTACATGTTCAAATGAACATATGTAAATATTTATCCCATTTATATTTATTTACTTATTTTAACAATTGCTTTAGATTCCTAATTGGTACCAAAGCATAGCACAGTTAACCTTTTGAACTATGTAGAATTACTCTACACAGGAAACAAAGGACATTGCAC